ACATTACGCATGAACTCGCACATTTAGAGCATTTTTCAGGAGTGTGCATTTTTATATAAAGAGGCATAAATTCGCATTAGTTGTGCATTTACACAGGTGAGGGAGACATGTGGTGCGAAAACTAGCTCACTCTATGACAACAAAAAAAAAAAAAAAAAAATTCCCCACTATTCCCCTCTTATTCCCCTGTTTGGTAAAACCCGAACAGTTACTAAATAAGCGAGCCTGTATCCCACCACTTCCCCGTAAGGACGCACCGTTCCACTTCTGCATCAATAATTTTTAAACACAAAAAATGCTTGACCCATCGACATAAACACGTCTGTCTATTTTTACGCAAAATGGAATATGAGGGCGAAACATTCCATTTGACGGAATACCAAATTAAAAAAACAGTAAAAGCATTCCAATATTTGGATAAAAAAAAAAGAGGATTGCTCAGATTTGAGTATGAATCACACGCTCGAACTAGGCACAACTAACGAGAAACGAATGTGATAGGCAAAAGCTGGTTGCACATGTGGGGGTGGTGATGGTTTTCCTCATTATGTCCGCGCACTACTTCTTAAGCGTTGCGTGGTCTATGATTCATCATCACACGTAACACGCAGCGAGGAATCCGTGATGCCTACTCACGTCACCGTTTGTGTGCAATTACACATGCATACACATTCGTCGGATTCTGCAGTCTGTTAGGAAGCCTCCTGCGCTGTAGCGGATACAACGTGTCGCTAAAAGAAATTGATAAGATAAAAGACAAAATTATAGAAAAAAAAATTAGGGAAAAAAACGCGCAAGTGAATGAAAAGAGGGAAACAGAAATTACTACAAACGAGAGAGACGACAATAATGACACGTCGAACCATAAACAAGCTGAAACGAATAACGACGATGATGATAATAATATATCCAAAATGCTAAGCGATTTAAAAAATTATGATAACTTCATCGAATTGGAAAAACAAAAAGAAGAAAAAAAAAAAAAAGAAGAAGAAAATAAAAACTTATTTAGTATAAAGGAGTTCTTTAGGATCATTCAACTGCCAAATATAACCAACGAAACTAAGCCATCAAATGTTTTAAACTCTTTTGAAATTTTCGATGAAAAGGGGAATGGAAGAATATCCATCAAAAAGCTGAGATTTATTCTTCAGTACTTAGGGGAACCCCTAAGCAATGCAGATTTTGACGAATTCTTTGACTGGATCAAGACGGTAATGTTCCAGCGGAGAGGAGGGGGCGAGGAGAGCATGAACTCCTGTGTGTGGAGGTCTCTTGCATCGAGTTATGTCAACAGCTGCATGCTATACTCTGTATGCGATATGACGATTTAACACGCTTTCCTTACGTGAGACATTGTACACATAAATATTTTTCTCCCCCGATCGACAGAAGGATAAAGTGTATAAGAAGGACTACATAATTTACGAGGATCTGCTCAACGAGCTTGTAAATAAAGACACGAGCGTTTAGAAGAGTTAACGGAATGTGAGAAAAGGGGGTGGCGTGGGGGGCGAATAGGCAGAAGTTAATTCTTCCGATTCGAGTGACTCCCTCTCCCATTTGCTGCCATTTTTGAGCCTTCATTTGGAAAAGAAAAAAAGAAAAATTACCTTTGATAGGCAAATTTAACTGTTATCATGGCTGATATGATAAGACGTTTTTTCCATTTAAATTTTTTTTTTTTTCTCACCCTCTTATTCCACTTTCCCATATGTATTAAAAAATCTAATTTATTTTGATGCAACTTTTAAATAGCTAACTTTTTTGTAATAAAAAAAAGAAAAAAAAGGTGATAATGTTATTATCGAGTTTAATACAGACACATTTGTGGAGGGACCCATGTAAAGTGGAGTAAATCTGCGCATATGTATGTGTAAAATTAAAAACAAATGGATCAGGAGATGAAATGCGTGGAAAAGAAAAAAAATGGGCGGACTTTTATGAATGGCTCAAACAAAGCATTATTACGTAGAAAAAAAAGGACGGGAAAAAATACCTGGATGGATGGGTGAAGTTGAATACACAACTGTATGGTTACACTCTATTTGTTAGTACAAAAAAAATAAAAAAAAAGACATACAAATGGGTATATATATATACTGCCTACTATGCGTGCACACCCGTTTGACGATTTTGCATTTCTTCGAAACTGCCACAGCGCTGCTCATCCACATTGCTGCTCCCATTTTCCAAATTACACCCAAAAAATGACAGCTACAGAGAGAAAGTGAAAAAAAAAACAGCATAAATAACACAAAATCGGAAAGCAGAGATACCATACCAATCATCAGTCATTATCATTAGTGGACGGTATGCGTATACAATTAATTATTAGAGCAAAGGATGTAAAAAAATAAAAAAATTTGGAGGCCTTGCTTTTCTTTTTGTTATCTGAGCGGTCTTTATCTTGTTTATGCTTGTGAATTAAATAATTAAATAATTTTAAATTATCAAATTTATTGCTTTTTTTAATTCTCGCAAAGTAAAGATTAGCGTCCATATATTCGCTTAACAGTTCACTGTTTTGATGCCAATCTGTAGACTCGTCAATGCAATAATTTTTATTGTTATAATACAAGTGGATGTTCTTATGTGGCCTGGATAGCAGTTTTATTCTTTCCCTTCGGAGTATCCTCTTGTGCATTTTCTTGTACTTCCACTTGTACATTTTGGTGTACCTCATTTCGCATATCTTGCTGAAATTTTCCAGTTCAACGTTGTCTATTCCGGAGGGGTAATATTCGGGCAACTTCAGGTCCAACTTCTTTTGTTTCTCTTCTTCGTGTTTGGTCGAGGTGTCTCCGTCGATTTGGCGGTGGAATGCCTTGGATAAATCTGGAGCCTCGCCCCCGCTGCTGTGTTTATGTTCGCCCGTTTGGTCCATATGTCCCGGTAGTTCCTTTTCATGCGATTCGTTTTCTGCCAACTTGGAATGGCTTGCACCCCAGTGATTGGGTATCTCCCTCTTCTCCTTGGGCTTATAATTATATATACTGATGATGACATCCTTCTGCAGGGCCATAATCTTGTTTTTCTTCCTCTTTTTCAGTACAATCTTCTCGTTGGCTTTCGCATTCGCAGAGCAGTCATCCTGTCCGTTCTTAGCATGCTCCCCATCTCCATCGCCACAGCCGCCGCTGCAATTGCATGCTTCGACCTGCCGACTGGCACTCTTGGCGGTGCTGAACATTTTTATTTTGCCCCGATTCTTATGGCCACTATTGCCGTACTGGCGCTTTCTCGAAAATAGCTTCCGCAAGTACTTTATCTTCTTTATCATCTTCATCTTGCTCATCTGTTTGACGCTATTCATTTCTATGTCCGCACTGGTATGCTGGCAGTAGGTCGAGAAGTCATTCTTATTTATGTTGGCGTATCTGACTACGTAATAGGTCTCCATTTTGTTTTTAAACTTACGGATGAATGGAAATTTTTTCTTATACGGAATTGGGTACTCTAATTTTTTTCTCACATGCGCCGAGTTACTGAAGCAGTTAATTTTTGTTTCGTAATTAATTTGTTTCCGTCTGATTTGTTTGGAAGGGCCAAGTGGCGCAAGGGAATCACCATCGTGTGTATCTTTTTTGCGTAGGTTCTTTTTCCAAGCGCTGTTTTTTCCTGCACTGTTTTTCCCTGTACTGTTTTTTCCTGGACTGTTCTTACTGGGGCAGTCCTTACTGGGGCAGTCCTTACTGGGGCATTCCTTACTCGATCCGCTTGTGATTAGGCCCTCCTTGCCTACACCGGTCCCATAGCATTCGCTGTCTCTCTTCCAGTTCTTAATAACAATGATGTAGTTGTTATTATTGTTGACTCTTTTCCTGTTCAGACGAATTATATCATCATCCTGGTATTCATATAGTTCGTCTGCATTCATTTCGTCTCCTACGTAGCTGGCCCTGCTCTCGTTACATATATCACTGCACAGGTCGTTATTAGAGCTGCCTGTTGATGACAAGTCGTTCCTAATGAATAAAGAACCTAGGGTGTTATCCAAATTTATGATCCTTTTTTGTGTGTATTGACTGACTTGTTCAAAATCGTTACTTAATTCTTCGGAGTAGCTATACTTCTTCCTAAAAGTTGACAATTTCATTTTACTCAACTTGGTATTTTTATTTTTCTCGTACTTGAAATGGATGGCATTTTTTTCAATTGCTTTATTAGAAATGTTGCTCAGTTTGGTAATATCATATTCTTCTAAGCTTTTTTCTTTCGTTATTTTTTTCTTTACATTGTAAGTTTTGTTTCTATATTTTCCATCGTGAATATTGATCGAATGATAATCTCTTCCTTTTTTGGTCCATTTGGAATCTACTACTTGGGATTCAATGGAGGGGAATTTTTTTCTTTTTTCATTTTTGTCTCCATTACTGAGTGAATCATTACCATTTTGCTCTTCATCTATGTCGATAGCTACATCGTTCAGGACCACTACGTGATGCGAGCTTTTCTTATCCACAAGTTGTAATTGGGGGTTCACAAAATTGATGTACGACGGCCTCGTTTTCGTGAAGAGTATCTCTTTTATATTGTTAAAAACGCCTATATTAAACGGATTATCGTTTTGATAAAAGGTCTTTATTTGCTCGTACGTTGTTTGGTTCGTCACAATTGTGTAGATGTGATAGCACAACAGTCCTATGACGAACCACAACGTTAGGATAGTGTATATGATCAAAATGATGCTATCTGTGGCCATGCGCCATATGTGAATAAATATTTTCTCCGTGTTGTAACCCTCGTCTGATAGGCTGTTGATGCATATGGTTAGTTTGTAAATACTTGCGCCTAGAGTTATGCATATCAGGATGTACAGATTAAAAACGAAGTACACGAAGTATTTGTAGTTCCTCGTCCCGATGCAATTGCCCACCCTGAGCGGTAAAACGGAATGAGAGTGAGTAACAGTGAGGGCATTGCCCGAAGAGTGCGCAGACAGGAGAACATGTACAAATGGCCAGTTATATCCACAAACAACAAGACATATATATATAATAATGCACATGTCCACGTTATGAATGGCAGCCGCCGCTTGCATTACCATGGGCAGTGGTGATCGAACTTCTCCACGCAGTTGTCACAAATGGAACAGTGCACAGTTCTTATGCCTCTATATATGTTACACGTGTAGCAATACTTGAGTTTGTAAAAGTTTCCATTTATCAAAACCTCCTTCTGTCGTGGTGGCTGCGTTTCCCGGTACTGTTGGATTATCACATCGTAAATGTTTAGTACAGATTTCTGCACAGAGAGGGGGGGAAGTTAACAATAGAATTCGCGATGTGGCAACATGGATGCGCTTTCTTCAAATAAAAGAACACGCAACGCATGCAATTACACAATCGGGCATTCCACATGAGAAGGCTTCAAAAAGCTTAACACACGTGTAGGTGAAACTTTTACCAACATGGTGGGAATTACCTGTCTTGGTATTATACCAGGGTCCATAAAACTTGTTTTAAAAAAGGTGTAAATGGTTAGCGTGAAAAAGAAGAGGTTGAGAATTGAGACGTAGTAAATATCTTTTTCAAAGAGCCACTGCGAGGAAGGAGGAGGAGGGGAAAAAGGGGGTAAACAATGTGCGTAGCTTATTCTGTGATAAGAAGGAAGCTTCATACCAATAAAGGGCACATGAAGAAGGGAATAACACATATTTGAATAATGAACACGCATCATCCTTTGACAAGTGATTGGGACACATGGGAGCATTGTATCCATCTCTCCATTTTGTATCCAAATTGCATCGTTCGCATTACTGTTGAGGTAAAGGCGTGGAAGATGGCAACTGGGAGTAATATCATAAGAAAGGACGAGATAACCGTTAGAAAGGCCGGTCTGCGGGGGAGAGGGGGCGAAACGAAACGGTAAAAAATGAGTCTGCCACTAGGTACGCACATGTTTATACATATGAGTACTTCAATATAACTATGCGGATGAATGCTATTTTGCGCCTTTCTCCCCTTAAAAGGGGAGAAAAAGGCATTTGCTTAACACCCGCTGAAGAGTCTCTCGAGCGGTGGGCACTTACCCTGATACGAAAAAGCCCTTGCAGTGTATTTTATTTTCTCCATATATTTGTACATTATTTATTTTGTCAAAATTCGTTCTTTCCAAAGTTTTATTTCTTTTAAATATTTTCATTTGTTATATAATAATTTCATTTTTCTGAAAAAAGGCGTCCAAATTTATGTAGAGGCGGGAATGATTTCAAGTACTGGCGCATTGGTGATCTGCCGCAAAGGGGAAGTCTGTTGGTCTAATGGCTCTTCACTTTCGAAAAGGGGATCTCCAATAGGCACTAAATTATAATTTGGGATGCGTGAACCGAAGGAAAAATAATAATAATAAAAAATAAAAGAAAAAATAATATAAAATAAAAAAACAAAGGGGGGCACAGCGGAAAGGGTTACAAAATAAGGTAGAAGTGATAACGAGGTACGGAACGCGCCGGGAGGCTGAAGGAAGAAAAAACAATATAACTAAAATGGTGGCTATGTAAAAAGGATAGCCCGAAAAAATAACAGCTCTGACGCCTGCCGAGTCAAGACCATTGTACATAATTGCAAAATTATAACATTATAACAATAAAATAGGGAAGGAACAATATGAAGGGACATTTGTTCAATGAAGGACTCTTCATGGAGCGTGGGCCTTTGTTATAATTCCATTTTCCTCGCAACATGGCACCAGAAGCAGTTAGCAAAAAACCAAAGCACTTCAGCCTCAGCCTTTTTTTTTTTTTTTAATGCGTAAAAGTATATAATGGCATATAATCATATATTTTTATATGCACAATTTGACAATTTGCACTAGCGCAAAGGGACAAAATAACTTAATAAGGAAAAAATTGGCCACTGCTTCGGGATTTTTAATTTTTATAGGTGACCATCACATTGTCAGAAAATGCGAATGGGCATATTATACATTATTATGTAAGTACATAATTTGCCTACCCAATTTTACTGTGCCATTTTTGTGATTCAATTTAGAGAAGCAAAAATAAATGCTTTCACAAAAAGTTCTCTCACTTTTGGGACATGTACACAAATTGGCCAACTTCAGAAGGAACACGTTAAAAAAAAGTTAGCAAGTTAATGGTTAAGTGGACGCGGAAGCTGCAGCAATTTGTGGTAATCTGTACCAATTCGAAGAAATTCGCATAGGGGATAGCTGCCTTGAAATGCTACATATATCTCTGTACATAAGGTCACATGTGCCTATGCACATAAGTTTTTTACGTTTGCACGTACTAACGTGAATGACTACGTCGCCGTGATCCTGCTCTTTAGCGTAGCAAAAATGCATGTCGATGCGAAGAGAAGTAAAAAGACCGCGTGAATAAACATTTCAAAAACGTACATGCTTCTCCCCTATATGCGTAAAGAGGAAGCGGCAGAACATACATCCCCGCATATATGTAAAGACCTGCAGATATACAAGTAGTTGCCCTTCTTGCCTCTCTTGATGGGAACATTAAAGTGATTCAAAATTTTAAATGTGAATTTTGGTTTATTATTGTATCAAATAATAAAGCTCTTTTCCGTTTTTCCTTTTTCTGCCAAAGTTCGTGTGAGCTCTGAAAATGGTGAGCACAGGACAGAGCTACATACGCATGCAGTCGCAAGGGAATCTACACGTTACACCTGTATATGTACAGGTGTAGCTGCGCACACCTACACGCACGTGCTCAAGTGGTTCGGGGAAGGAAAAAAAAAAGGAAAACACGGATATGCACTTACTATTAAAACAGTTGACGGCCCGTCCTAAATACACGCAGAAAAGACCTACGGGCTATTACGGGCAACATGTATTCCGACGAAAGCGCAAGAAGGGAATTGAAAAATAAATTTATAAGCTTTGGCCAACGTACACACATCGCAGTAATAGGGAACATTGGCGCATTAAAAAGGTGAATGAAACTGAAAGGCTTTAAAAAAAAGGAAGCAGCGTTGCATCAAAACGAAGGTGCAAAAAAAAAAGGAAATTACAATGGGACAAAAAAAAATACACACACACTATATATATATATATGCATGTATAGGTAACCAGTTTAAACGAATTCAATTTTGTATAAAACTGAAAAAATGAGAGGAGAAGTTAGGGACGAAGCCGGAGTAGACGCTGCTTCTGGCGCAGAGTGCTCTCCGGAAGGGAAAGAAGGGGACAACTGCACAAACACCAAACTGCGATGCAGGTCTCTTCACAAATTTTTTAAAGTCCAAAATGGATGCTAACCACGGTGGGCTAGGCAAAAAGGTCTTCTAAATTTTTTTTTGCTTTATTTTTTTGTGCCTTGAATGAGTTATAGTGCACTTCGCTCTTCGTGGATAATTTGACTTGGCCATTCTGCGAGAAATCACTGGTGGGGTGTTTCGCTGTATTTATTACATTGCTATTTACTCGTTTTATGTTGTCCGTTTTGCTGTAATAATTTGGAGCACTTCTCTCAGTCGTTTCACCAAACTGGCCTTCCCCGTTGTAGCTGTTTATGCAAGCGGTCTTGCTGTTTTGTTGTCCCCAAGGGGTGTATTGCTGCCTTGCTCCATTGGGCTCGCTCAAATTGTAAAAAAAATCATACTGGTTATTCACCTTGTCTGCGCTATTCAATCCGCTATTTACTTTATTACCATCCACATCGTCAAGGTAAAAATTGACGAAGTTCGAAGTTTGGTTATTTTGATAAGTCTCTGTTGATTTTGCAAATGCATTATTATTATTATCTATAAATAGGAAGTTATCATTTCGAGACACCTTCTCATTATTGTTCATAATATGTATACTGTTATTTTGTTCCATATAAAATGGTTTATCCTCATATCTTTCTACGCTTGGTAGGGGAAAACCCGTTTTGTTATTAGCATCTCGGTTGTACGAATATACAGAGCAGTTAACTCCGTAGTCACCCTTGGCATTGTAATTAGGTCCATTTTTTGTTTCGTTATTACTTTGATATATGTATGGATTATTTCCATTTGATGCACTATACGTGTTATTAGTTTCTGGATTTTCATCATTTTCGCGATTAAATGGGCTCATTTGAGCTCTACTGGTGTTACCATCATAAGGGTTGGTTTCAGGGTGGTTAAACTTTTCCTTACCGTCGAAATGGTTGTCGTTACTTCTGTGAGTGGTGTATCCGCCATAGTGATGACTGGTACGATTTACTGCCAAAGCGTTATTCATCATTCCATTGGCATCGTTGTGGTTTAATTTTTCGTCTGCCTTATTCACTCTGAATGCAGTTTTTGGAGCCTTCATTCCGTTTCCATCTCCTGACGGGTGCATAAACGGCTGGTCAGCTGGATAACCGGTACTTGCAAATGTATATACGTCAGTGTGGATTTCAATTTGCTTGGGATCATTTACCCCATTCGTTATGAAGTCCATTTCCCCTTCCTCAATTTGCACATTATTGGACAAGCTGTTATTCGCTATAGTACCGTTTGTATTGTTGTAAAAGTTTTCCTCATTGGGGTTGCCTTTAATATTCTTCTCATCACTTTCATTTTTGGACCACAATTCTGTGTCATTGCCGAAATTGTCACTTAGGTTTTTCTTTCTCGTTTTTTTGCTGGAGAAAATATTTCTCCATTTGCTTTTTTTTTTTTCCTTTTCAGCGTCTATGCTATCTTTTCTTTTCTCATCAGTCGACTGTGTGGGTATATCTTCGTTGTCTTCCCCTTTTGGGAAGTCCCCCTTGGGATTCGCACACGCATTGTTATCGTTCGGTTCTAAGTTATGAGGGCTTTCCTCTCTATGGAACATCTGCTCATGGTGAAAACTCGGTTCCGCCATACCTTCTACAGTGTACCCCGTGTTGTAGGCAGCTGGGGGAGCTTGGATGAAGTGGCCATTTGGCTCCCCCCGCGCGTTATGATCCGCTAGTACGTCGCAATGGACATCGCAATGGACATCGGAATGCACACTGGAATGTGGATCGGAATGCACGCCGATATGATTACCACTTGCCATGCCACTCTCCGAATGAAGCATCATCATATTCACATTTTTACTTCTTACCTTGCTTGAATGTTCTTCTCTACCCTCATCTGTCTCTTCCAAATAAGGATTAATCTGCATTGTCATATTGGCCATCAGGTCAATCTTGTCATCGGGTGGGGGGCTATCCACGTGGAAGTTACTCCTGTGAGAGGGCTCTCCCTCGGTCCTATTTCTTCCCTTGCGATTCGATGTTCCACCATCGCTTGCGGCAGGGACTGCAGGGTCACTACGAACCGATGCGATGACATCGCTACGAACGAGCATTGGACCGTCAATGTTATCCCCACTTTTGTCTCTCCTTTTAGGGGCTTTTCTCGCCTTATCCCTGCCGGTGGTTACTTCCTCCATCAGTTCGCTTTCTTCGCCACTCTTAAGCGCTCCACTTAATGATCTAGGACTGGCCTCCTCCTCGAACTCTAAAACGTCACTAACGGAAGTGGCCTTCCCCAAAAGGTCCATTTCTTCTGGGCAGCTCTCTGCATCGTCCGAAAAATGAGTCCGTCCGATATTTGAATGCAAGTTATCGATCATATCGTCAATGTCGTTTATGTCTGCGTTGATGTTGTTAAGGGCGTTGATTATGCTACTACTGTTGCTCAGCCCTTTCTCTTTTATCTTTCTAGCGCTCATTTTTTTCTGGGTGATACTTTCAAACAAGCTTATGCATTCATTAATCTTGTCGTTAATGGAGAGGGAAGCAAAGTTATCCATCGACATGTTCACTTTATCATTAACATTTTCATCCCCCTTGCAATCCATCTGAACTGTACTTTTCCCCCCCTCGCTAGCTGCATTTATTAATTCCTTAAAGTGATCGAAAAGGCTATTTTTATATTTGTTAATCGTTTCATTTATTTGTTCATCCAGTTTATGCTTAGTGTTGTGGAGAAGGTTATCAATGGAAATTTCTTCAGCGAGATTTTGGTTGTTCCTCTTGTTATTCTCTATGGTCTGTCTCAACATGAGCAGTTCGTCTTTGTATTTTTGTTCTAACTTGTTTGTGATTTCTTCTGTAACTTCGTTTCTGATTTGTTCTCGTAATTTACTAAGATAATTATCATTTAGCAAGTTGGAATTTAAATTGTTCCCACTCACGTTGAAGTTTGAATTGGAACCTCCCATTTTGGTATCATCGGACCTGTTTGGTATAGGGGCCGTTAAGGTGGGTTCAGTTTGGACTTGACAGTCTACGAATTTTTTTTTTTCGAATGGGGGAATCACAGGTGATTGTATGCTGTTAATACTTGTCGTTTTGTTTAACATGACTCTTCCTCCCTGTTGCTGTCTCATGTTGTGTTCATTATTAAGGTTGCTGATTTTGCCTACGTTTCCGAGGTTGCCTACATTACCGAGGTTTCCTATATTGCTGATGTTGCTGCTGTTCCCGCTATCATTACTTCGAAGCGTCTCCTCCTGTATGGGTCCCCGGGGGAAGGACACAGTAGCACTTTTCGGATTCATCATATGATAATTGTCTTTTATATTCCTTATCTGTTTTTTTAGGAGAACATTTTCGTTGTTAAGATGGGAATATTCATTTTTTAATTTCATAAATTTTAAATGTAGCATGTCCATTCTTCTTTGGTAATTATCAATGGAATTATTACTGGCACATTCTGCTTGCGAAAGTTCTGATTTTTCATCATTTCTTTTAGCTTGATCGATTAGTTTTAATATTAATTTATTTTTTCTATCATTCTCTTGCGCGGATAAGTAATGCTCCCTATTTTCCTGATTGACTAGATGTTTAAGTAAGTCTAGGGATTGCTCGACGATCTGCGAATTTGCCGGCGTTTTGAAGCTATCATGAGACTCCAGGATGGGCGTCTTGTTCAGTTTTTTTTTGTTATTGGTGTAAAACGAAATGTACGACAATCTGTCATCAAAATTTGTCGATATGTTGGATGTCCTATTCACTTTTGGAGCGAACAAATTTATGGATTGCGATCTGGGGGAACATATTCTGTGGGAAGACGTGTGGTTTCTTGTAGACCTCACCCCGTTTGCCATTTTATTCATGTACATGCTATACTGCGGGTCGTACGCTTTGTTACTGTAGTGGATTTCTGACCTTTTATCCGCGTCACAGTTGGAGGACGCGAATCCGTTGCTATCTTCAAGTAGGAAATTGCCACTTCCCGCGCCATTTTGCATTTTTCCGTTATGGCCTACGTTGTGACTGCCGATATGGTGACTGTTGATATGGTGGGTGCCGACCTGGTTGCTACCGACCTGGTCGCTGCTGAGATGGTTTCCCCCAACAGGGTTGCCGCTAACGCTGTTGTCGATGACATTGTTGCCGTTCACACTGTTACCGCTGACACTGTTACAGCTAACATTATTGTTGTTTGCTTTGTGGAGAACTTCAGATTTCGTGCTCCTTATATTGGGTTTTCTCGAAAAAAAATTCATCTTTGAACTTTGTTTCTTTTACCTCGCTCAGAGGCATAAAAATGGGGATGCGCGAGGAAAGAACACACACGGGGGGAGCCACATACATATAAAAATATATTACATGTATACGGTTTGTATATGGGAGAAAAAGGCTGATTGGGGGTTAATTCGCGAGCCAAAGAACGAATTTTCCTTAGCTGCGCGAAACTCAAATACAGTCGTTCGGAATACGAAAAAAAGCGAAATCAAACAGCGCATTAAAAATCGAAATATAATATGCCCATTTACATAAAAGCATATGTATGCATATATATATGGTAGAAATTTAAAGAAAAAAAATGCTTTCGAAAATGTTTTCCTTTCACTTTGGAAAAAGAAAAAAGAAAAACAATACATGCATAAAGAAAAAAAAAATGTTCATTCGGTAATATGTATGTTTTACTGCACATAAAAAAACGCATTTACTCGCGTGTATAAAAATACACATATTGGGGCATATAAAATATTTACGCAAATGACAAACAAATCACTTTTTTGCATTTTTTTAATACCCTTACCGAGGCGGAATTTTATTTTTTTCCCGTCATCATTATCTTAGAAGAAGTGAGGGAAACAGGCACAATGTGAAAAGAAGGGAGCATGTATGCATACGCAAAGCATATTTGTATTACGTGCCTCCGTACATTCTCGTATGTAAGAAAAATTCCCCCTCGCGTTTTTGGAAAATTTAAGCGAGCCCAGTTATGCATTTTTGCAAACACTTATGATATGCAGATGTACATATGTGCACAAAGCGCCATATCGAGGATGGGGCTTGAAAATTAAGAAAGTCCAAGAGAATGACCCCCTAAGACGTGTACGCTGTGTTGTAACTTCACAACTGTCATAAACACACGGATGTTGTTAAATTAATGATCCGGTAACGCCTTTGCCATCCTGGTGAAACGAATTCAGTGTGACAAAAAAATGAAAGTGGTCGTAGACATTTGCTTTTTTTTTTTTTTTTTTAAAGATTCGTAAGCATAGGTGTTTAGACACGGTTAAGGAATAGTCAAAAAAAAAAGAAAAAAAATGACCTTCCGTTCGAAGTTATAACATAACTCAGCTTTGCATCTTTCCCGAAACGAAATGATGTCCAGAAGGCTATTCATTTGGTAATGAAACACGCTCATTATCTGTTTATTTGGGGAAAAAGTCTTCTAGCGTATCACTTTGCACAGAACAGTAAATTTTACGCATTTCCCACTGTGACGCTTTTTTTTTTATTCTTCCTAAATGGTTAAGAGGAGGACGAAATTTTCTGATTCGAACTTGAATGAAACGAAAATGTGCATCAACGTGTGGCTAAAATTATGAGTTTAGCCCTTTATAAAAATCTACCGCCCAATTTTAATCCTGTCTGGCAATAAAACGGAAGGATGCGCGATAGGCAGCTCTCTAATGGGTAAAAAAAAGTAAAAAAAAAAAAAACTTTATTAAAAAACAGGTTTTCTCTTACACCCCCTAGAAGCTCCCTATTTCTACCGCACTTTAAAAAACTAAAATTGAATATACTCTGCCATGTGCAACGATAAAAGAAGGATAATTTTTTTTCCCTAGCGACTTAAATGCTGAAATGCTTGTCTACGCGATTTTTTTTTTTTTTAATTTAAGCAAGTATCATTGTTACCTTCCTTCAAAATTTTAAGTTAAAAATTCGAGTAAAAAAAGCCATTCACAGTTAACCCATTGTAAGCTAACATTATATTTTAAGCAGAAAAAAGTAAAAATAGGACTGATCGTGGGGGAAAACCTACAAATTAAATATAAATGTGTCCAAAAAGCTTTAACCTTTTCAGTATTTTTGCCAAATTAGCAAAAAAAAAATTCCCCCTTTGATCCTGCGTTCACCTAATTTGCTCTCCTTGTAACCGCGTCGCCCAGGCAAAATGAGCAATTACATGAAACCAAGGGTGCGAAAAAGGTTCGACGAAAATGACAAAAATGACGAAAATGCTCTAATTGATGAAAACAGGAAAAATATTAGCCGTAGAAATAGGGAGGCTACAAATATCTATTATACAAACAAAAAGTTAAATGAAAAGTTAAACGGGAAAACGAGCGTAATTACGGACAGTGGGGAGAAAACGCAGCTGTCTAGTAAGGGAGGCACTTGGATAAAGCATATAAGTGGCCATACTGCCCAGAAGGAAGAACGCGAAAGGGCTGAAACTGAGAACAATGCCAACGCAGGGAGGATGAATGATTCCGCACAGGTGGACGGAGCAACCAACGAAAGTGATAAGATAGAACAAAAAAAAAAAGAAATTAAAGAATTGGCCAACCTCTGCCTTGAAAAGAATTTATCAGTTAACAGCGAAAATATCCAAATTGTCAGAAAATTAAAAGAAAAAAGAATGCTAGAAGAAGAATCTTGGAAGAAATAGAATATCACGAATGGGCAGACAGGGAAAAGAGAATAAAAGAATTACAAGAAAAAAAAATGAAATTGTTAAAAAAAGTAATGATACAAAGAGACACAGAAAAAGCAGATAAAATATTTTACGAGGTCGAAAAAATTGTTCAAAATAGAGATAAAAATAAGGATAAAATTATGGAAAATTTTGAAAAGGAAAAAGCAAGAGATATGAGAAATTTATTTGTAGAAAGAAAAAATAATCTCAAAACAATTTTTAATGAAAAAACAGACATAGTCGATCAAATGAATGATCACACTTCAAACTACAACTTGGAACTGGAAAGAAATGGAACCGTCCCAGGAAAAATAAACGAAAGGACGTCAAACAAAATTGACAACCTCCTCAACCTGAATGACCTCAACGACTTGAACATCGATTTGGAGAAATCGTCCAAATACACACAGGGGAAAAAGAAATACGACGAGATCTCTAAATATGAAGAGAAAAAGAATAAGCAAATCATTGACACGTTTTACAGATATTTAAATAAAGAGGAAAGAAAATACACCTCAGACGAATACCTGTTGGGAGAATCCATCAAAACGCAAAAGAAAGCACAGTGCACGAAAATTAACTTCCCCTGGATAGAGGTCAAGTCCAGTCAACAAGACATTTTCGAAAAAAATATTTTGCATTTACAAAATTTCCTTAGGGGGAAAGCTATAAAAATGTTAATGAATGATGGAAAACAATCTTACAGCGATTTAATTGAAGAATTAAGAGCGTATGAAAAAATAGATCAAATTAGTGCAAAGGAAAAAGATCTATTCGAAAAGGAAAATTTTGAAGAAATAAAAGTTGATTCTTACTTAGAAAATATGCAAGGTAAATACATATCCGAATTGCTAGATTCTTTATCCAACGAATTGGAGAAATATGAAGAAGAAAGGAAAATAGCGGTGCTCGTCAAATATGCAGAAAGGGAAAGAAGATTAAAGGAATGCAAAGAAAAGGGAAAAAGACAAGCTGAGTTTTTATTGAGAGAAAAGGAAGATTATATATTCAATGAAATCATGGGACTGAATAACCAAACCGTTGATTCCTACTTGGAGGACATTTTAAGTAAAGCAATCAATGAAGCATCCAAGGAAGAAGCTCTGATAAGGACCAAAAAAAAAGCTGAGCAGCTCAACGAAATTTACAACTCATTAGATAATAATAGCGATGAAAATAACAAACTCATAGTCAAAGATCTGGTCGGTAACTTTATCATTCCGTATGTAGATAAACAGAGAGGATTACAGTTTGAATTGTTAGAACAGAAGAAAAATAACTGCGTGTCGAATTTTGCAACACAACACGTTTTTTCCAAAATTAATGAAGCTTTCTGAAAAGGGAAAAAAAAAAAAAAAAAAAAAACAATTGGGGGGTGATGCCTAACTAGAACGGAAGAAAAAGTAAACGCGAATTTTGCAACAATCGCGGGATAGAATAAGGATCATGGTGATTCATACTCTGGCTATTCGCATATGGATGGACTTTCCCTCCCATTTTGCTCTTCTGCGCACAACATAGAGCAATGAGAAAAAAATACATACATATATACATGCACGCCTGCATCCATCCATACATATAGTGTTCTCTTTGAACTATGGGATGCAAAAATAATTAATTAGGGAGCAATAAACCTAAAGAATGACTAGAATGAACATTCTATACGCGAATAAATGCCACACCATGGATCAAACTAATTTGCTTTTCCCCTCGGGGACTCATTAAACCACGCAGATTGCTTGTGTGCAAAGGTTGACTATCTACGTGAGGAAAGCCACGGGAATCTGTACATACGTTGCCGCAAAATCCGTGCCATCATTAAGAAGTCGTCATTCCTCAGGGGGCAATTCCCGAACGTATACCACTACAACCTTATCCTTTTTTTTAAAAACATTTGAGAGGGATTATTCAATTGTGTGGGCTATTTTAGCATGGCCTTAGACTTTGCTAAACTTTGCACTTTTTCACCTTTAAAAAATAATTCTTTTTATTAACCTAAGTAACGCTAAAATGCTTGAAGTACAAGTTCGTGTTTCACCTCATTGTTCTTTTTATAAAATGTACATTTGTCTAAAGAACGCGTAAGAAAATTCCAGGTGCTTTAAAATTCAAAAGATAAAGAAAAGTTTTTTTTTTCCGCTCATTTGCTTGGTTGAAGAGGGTCATTATGAACTGCATGACTGCGGAGAGCTGGGTGCTCTTAAAGATACGTCCCTTTAGGAACAAACCAAAAAAATGTGCCTCCCAAATATGGAAACACTCGGTCAACATAGAAATTAAACTGCGCTACAATGAGTTAAACTAAATTTGGTAAATTTTTCGTGAGCATTTTCCCGTCTATCGTGAAATGCACTTGGTCGAATTGAAAAAAAGGACAAATTGAGCTTACAAGGCCGTAATGAACGTTAAGGCACGGCTGAGTAACCCTTTGGTACGAAAACGTTTTTGCTGCCTCTCACATGTGCGGAAATTTAATTGCACACACATTTGGTTTACGAAGTTGGCGAGTTGCGCAGTTGAGCAGTGTGGGCAAACCGCCCCGGGGGTGTCCCTGGGCCTCACATGCGTGTAATGTGCCTGCTCAAAAGGATATGCACGTCCATACGCACATGTGCAAATATATATGTATGTGTGTATGTAGGTCTCTATGTATCTGGGTATTAGGTACATACACGGAGTCTGCGAAACGAGTGACCCTGCATGTAATAAGGCGAGAAGAAGGAATATAAAGCAAATGCACAAGCTAGCCCCCAAATGGGGACACACACGCTTTCCTACTTTTGCACAGCTTTAAGGAAACACCAATTGTTCTATTAAATTGAGATTTACGCAAATTTTTCTTTTCTGTTTTCTATTGGTTAATCGCAATTCACACGTGTACAAGGGAGGCGTGTTCATTTGAACGCTTTAAATTATGACCTGCTCTGGAAATTGTCATTTTTTTTTTCGTCCATGTGCCCACATTTTATGCGCAAAAAAAGGGGAAATTTTCGTGTTGCTTAATTTGTAAAAACGCAGCACATGATACATATCAACATTTTTCATTCTTTTCCGACTTTCTCAATTTAATCGTTTAAACACGAGTAGCAGAGTAAATTTCTAAAATTGAAAAAGGAAAAAACGAAAAAAATGCACAATTTGGTGAAAATAAGAAAATAGCAATAGGTGAAAATCGTATCAAAAAAAATAAAATAAAAAAAAAAATAGTGCGCAATTATCATATTCAAAGGGACAATTGGTGCAAAACGATTTAATCAAGGAAATACTTTTTCCTTCTGTATTTTTTTTTGTCATCAAATTGAGGCAAAATGAACATATGACTCAGCAAGTATACACAATGCGGTATGACAGTACCCCATGAGGTGATAGCGCAGTTCAGCACATTACCCCGTAATGCCGCAATGGCTAAACGCATGGTTGCAAAACTGATCACATATTTTGCCTTGAACATTCCAAATTGTGAACCAGCAAACAGAATGGTCGGTGAAATGGCAAAATAGTTTGCTTTTCGCACGAACGATGTTTCCCCAGTGATAGTTGCGCGGAAGCGTACCCGTTTGTGCATCACAAATTGCATATCTCGCATAACTCGTACAGATGTCACAAAGGTGAACAGAAAAACGTGCATTTTGCATATAATCGTGGACAACGCATATTTACATGCAACTGCCAAGAGGTTAAGAGTTTTTCCTCACTTTTAGTGTATGAAGACAGTGTGCGAATTTTACAGAAAATAAACTGTGACTAGGCCATGTGACAACCAAGCGTGTATAAATAAATGAACTGTAATGTACACCATGCACTCAATCCGGTTGCTGCGCAAATTTTACTTTTAACTCCGCGAACAGCGCAAATGTATAAATACGCACATATATATGAATATATACATATATATATGTATATATATATGCATTATATATTTACATATTTACGCTGATCATTATTGTATACATAATTATACACGCCCACTTCCAGTACGCCCCCTTCTGCGTTCGGAAATTTTCACATATATATAATTATTTTTTGCTATCACTATTTAGTATGCAATAAAAATCTGAAATTTTTAACATTTTTTTTTTGCATGAAAAAACATTTCTTCTTTCAGGAAAAATTGTGCTGTGTTTGGATATAAGTAAAACGTTTATATTTACATATTTGCATATTTATACATTTATATATGCCGTTTACCTGTTCCATTTTGCCAATTTTTTTTTTTTTGCATTGTAAAGAATGTACTTTATTGTACAAGTACATATTGCGTATATAATGTAACACGCTTAACAGAAACCTTACGTATATTTATTTTACATTAAATTTCTCTTGGTACGAAAATAGTTATCAAGTTTCTTTTTTTCCTGTTTCTTTTTCTTTTTTTCCCCTTCTTTTCCTTTCTTTTCATTTCCCTTTTTCACATTTAACCCATTTCTGTTAAAAAAACAATTGCATTGTATTGTCAATTCTTCCCCCCATTTTGAATAAAAAGTTGAGAGAATTTAATTAAAGTAATATAGTAAAATTCTGCGGAAATAACAGGAAATTTCCTTTTTTTCTTTTTAAATAAATTTGGCTAAAAAAAAGGAAGATTTCTTTTATCTGTACAAAATAACAAAAAATGTCAGGAAAAGGACCAGCTCAAAAATCCCAAGCTGCAAAGAAAACTGCAGGAAAGACCTTGGGGCCAAGGCATAAGAGAAAAAGAAGAACAGAGTCATTTTCACTTTACATTTTTAAAGTTTTAAAACAGGTGCATCCAGAAACTGGTGTGACAAAAAAAAGCATGAATATTATGAATTCTTTCATTAATGATATATTTGACAGATTAGTTACCGAGGCAACTAGACTAATTCGTTATAATAAAAAGAGAACCTTGTCATCACGTGAAATTCAAACTGCCGTTAGATTGCTTTTACCTGGAGAATTGTCAAAACACGCCGTCTCTGAAGGAACCAAAGCCGTAACAAAGTACACCACCAGTGGTGCATAGACATAATGTAGCAATTGTTTCTCAAACATCATGGGGAATACTAAGGTATATATCCCCCGCCCATCGCTGCGTATTGTAGTTACAGGTCCACCTATATAGCTGCATACGGATACCTTTATTACGTACCCCCAGTATGAAGAGTTTTATGGCATTATAAAAAATGGATATTAAAAAGGAAAAAAAAAAAAAAGTCTTCAAAAAAGATGGCATATATATTTGACCATGCCTCTGGCAATTTTATCAACTTTTTAACGCTTGTGAAACTAACTAGTGAACCTGTTTTTTAAAGCAAAACACGCCTTAACTATTTTGAATTTAACTGAATTTTTAACTCCTGATGCGTATGCATATGCACGTACGTATGTATATATATATATGTATATATGTGTGTACATACCTATGCCTACGTATGCATATATACACACACGTGTATATATTTCTACATCAGTGTATTTGTGTTTCAGTACACGCAGGAATAGGGAACGAATGCATTCAAAACATGTAAAAGAAAATTATTAATAAAACGAACACGTGTGTATATGTCGATACATGCAATTTCTTAAAATTATTTCCATATGTCTACTTTTTTTTTAATTATTCCATATTTATATGAAAGATAAATTTAAAAAAA